AACTTTCCTATCATATTGTTTTTGAGAGACTCTTTTCCCGTTGAAACGTAATATCGATGACATCGTGGCCAGTGATGAGTGATGATGTTATGTGAGTGGAGCGCACTTTGAGAGAGAACTGCAGAGGAATTTCCACATACACTGAACTAAAATATTCCACAAAATCCCACAAAATATTTATTGAACATTTTCTGTTCTCTGGAATATCACCGTTAATGCAGAAATTATAATTGGTTTAGTTGTCGGTTAGAATGCGGAGGTAAACAGTCTAGAGTGGCTGGAGAGCCAATATTACCAACTCGCCTCACCCAAATTTTCTAGTGGGCGACGTTGCCTCTGTTCCGGACTGAATTTTTATTATTTGAACAATTATTAAATATAATTATAAAATTTTTTTAATGTAATTAAGGTATTGCCATGATGAATATATGAAATTAAAAAAATTTTAATCCCAGTAAAGTCGCCAAATAGCACCTCAACGAGATAATTGAAAACTCGATTTTTTTGTGTTCAGGGATTGGAACACTTGGGAAAGTCATATCCCTCCACACCCGCACACCCCCCCCCCCCCCCNCCCCCCCCGCTACGGTGCATGTAGAAAATCCTTAATAAAAAAGTATGCATTGGAAACTGTCATGGCGGAGAACATGCATTTGGAAGTGTCATGACGGCGGGCGAAAGACTCGAAAGACGCATGAGCTCCCATGAGGTTGAGCAAGGCGGCCGCGGCAGCGCTGGCTAAAAAAGCGCATGAATTATAAAGTGGAATTGCTTATAACCTAAATTTAGAAACAAACATCGTGTATGCATACATTGAATACATCAGTACACGTCCAATCCACGCAAATATGTGATTGTTAGTACTCAAGTCGTCCATATGCCTCTAACGCACACGTTAAATGTACGTTAAAGGCACTCTAAGGTACACGTTAAATGCATGTTAAGACATTTCAAGGTAAACCTAAAATCTACGCTAATGTGTGATTGTTAGGTACTCAAATCGTCCACATGCCTCTAAGGTACACGTTAAATGTACGTTAGAGGCACTCTAAAGTACACGTTAAGTGCACGTTAAAGACACTTCAAGGTACACGTCCAATCCACGCAAATGTGTGATCGTTAGTTACTCAAATCGTCCATATGCCTCTAACGGACACATTAAATGTACGTTAAAGGCACTCTAAGGTACACTTTAAATGCACGTTAAAGACACTTCAAGGTACACGTAAAATCCACGCTAATGTATGATTGTCACGTATTCAAATCGTCCATATGCCTCTAAGGTACACGTTAAGTGCACGTTAAAGACACGCCGAAATTAAAGTCTTTGAAAACAAAAGGCACGTTGAGTACACGTTAAAATCACCTGAAAATTAAAGTCTAAAGACACGTAAAAGGCACATGGAAAATTCAATCAATTTTATTAAATAGTGTCTCTTCTAGGGAATTTTCTAGGGAATACGTACCTTTAACGTGGATTTAACGTGCCCTTAACGTGTCTTTAACGTGTGCATTTTTTCCACGTGCCTCTTACATGTACGTAAGGGACACGTTAAAGGTACGTTATTTCCACGTCATGTACAAATATCCAGACCGATTAAAATTCCCAGTGGTTATCGGGACTACGTGCATCTGAAAATACATGTCTCATTGTTTGTCGGAAAAATTCAATTCCCCGCGGAAAAGTTAAAAATTGTCTGGTAGGAACTTGGTGGACGATTTGAATTCCCAGTGGTCATCGGCACTACATGCATCTGAAAATACATTTCCCATACGTTGTGAAAAAAATTCAATTCCCCGAGGAAAAGTCAAAAATTGTCCAGTAGGAACTTCGTGTATGATTTAAATCCCTACTGGGTATCGGGACAACCTGCATCTGAATATACATGTCCCATTGGTTGTCGGAAAAATTTAAGTCCCCGCGGAAAAGTTGAAAATTGTCTAGTAGGAAGTTGGTGCACGATTTAAATTCCCTGTCATCATCGGGACCACGTGTATCTGAAAATACATGTCCCATAGGTTGTCGGAAAAATTCAATTCCCGAAGAAAAAAACTCTAGCCTTTCATCTGTAACGTGACATTTTTGCATGGGGGTTAAAAATGCTTATTACCTTCGCCCTTCTTCCCCTTAATCTAGTTAAACTCAAAACTCGAAATTTATGTGCATCAGATGATTTTTAACCGGAATTACCAAGCCGGAGGAGTCAACAAAATCAATTCTAACTAATTCAAAAATCTCAAAAATGTACTCAAAAAGGGAGAAAACTAGAGTTCTGGGGAAAGGTAACGCTTCTTGGTTCGCTCAGTGTGCTAGGTTGTGGAGAGAGGGGTGGATTTAAGGTGAAGACGGGTATTGGGTGGTCGAAAGTACAAAAAAAAAAAGAAATCGACATTGTCCTTATGTGTTTCACTATTGAAATTTCTCAAAATAAGGAATTTACATTTTCTTACACCAGGGTCTTACCAAAAACAAAGAAAAAGAAAGGATTGTCGTAATAATCAGCATTCTTCGAACAACCGCAAACAATAAATTGACTCGAAATCAGGGACTTGGAACGCGTTCCAGTTTCAATTTCACTCCAGGGGCAGGAAACGAAACGAAACTGTAACGTTCCAAGCTGGGAGCGAAACTCGGAACGAAAGTCGTGGAACGATACGCCCGGAACGAAACTTGGAACGAAAGTCCTGGAACGTTTGAGCCCGGAACGAAAGTCGGAACGGAAATCGTGGAACGTTTCTCGTATGGATCGAAACTTGGAACGAGAGTCTTGGAACGTTACAGCTTGGAACGAAAGTCGGAACAAAACTCGTGGAATGTTTCTCATTGGGAACGAAAGTCGGAACGTTACTTATCCAGAAACGTTCCTTGGCAAGGAACGAAACTTGGAACGAAACTCGGTGGAGAAAGGAAGTAGGAGTGAATAGAGACAGCGTTGCCAAATGTTGATACATACCGTCCACACACTTGGGCATATTCTATAACGTAACTATTTTATTTTTCGCCCGTTCAACACTTGAAGTAATTATTCGAACAGGGTCTGTTTTTATTGTTATTAAACGCTTCAAGTTACTCGTGACTCTCGTTAAATTTTACGGGGTGAAATGCGCTTTATTCCTGATAAGCTAGGGGATTGCAGTTTGATGAGAAGATGTGACAATGCACGTTTGAAACAATGACTGATACGAATTCTCCTTCTATAGAAGAGTAAGGTAAACAGAACTTAGATTTAAAAGTTTACAATCTGAAATGAATTCTCAATGGGAGATAATATCAATAGAAACATTCTGGTTGAGTTCTCGCCCAATTGGCAGTCCAGTATTGTTGAAAATAATCAATTCAGAACTATCAAAATAACGCAGTCTTATGAGAGAAATACCTTTTCAAGATTAGGAAAAAAATAATCTTGCAAAAATCTTGAAAAATCGGAGAGAGGATAGTAAAAATTTTACGCCCACTAAAAAAATTATTTTCAGTCTCGAAATATTGTAATAAATAATTTAAGTTTGGCCGGGGGGGGGGGGCCAAATGGTGAGTAATGTGAAAGTGGCAGCGTTGCTTTGGTTGAACGCTGGTCATGACATGAAGGGGGAAATATTTCCGAATGTACAGTGTTGCCACTATCGAGAGACTTATTGTTTGAAAAAGTATTCGAAGATAGAATTGAAGTCACGAGGGACACGAGGGGAAAATTGAATTTCACGAAGGTCAAACGTCGCGACACTCACGAGGGTCACGAAGGGGAAATTGAATTTCACGAGGGTCAAACGTCACGAGGATCACGAGAATCACGGGGGCCACGAGGGGAAAATTGAATTTCACGAGGGTCAAATGTCACGAGGCTCACAACGATCACGAGGGGAAAATTGAATTTTACAAGGGTCAAACGTCACGACATTCACCAGAGCCACGATGGGAAAATTGAATTTCACGGGAGTCAAACGTCACGACACTCACGAGGATCACGAGAGGAAAATTAAATTTCACGAGGGTCAAACGTCACGAGGATCACGAGGGCCACGAGGGGAAAATTGAATTTCACGAGAGTCAAACGTCACGACACTCACGAGGATCACGAGAGGAAAATTAAATTTCACGAGGGTCAAACGTCACGAGGATCACGAGGGCCACGAGGGGAAAATTGAATTTCACGAGAGTCAAACGTCACGACACTCACGAGGATCACGAGAGGAAAATTAAATTTCACGAGGGTCAAACGTCACGAGGATCACGAGGGCCACGAGGGGAAAATTGAATTTCACGAGCGTCAAATGTCACCGTTACTTTATGGGTCATATTTTTTTTTTCTTCATTTCTACCAATTCCGTTGGCAGTAAGCTTCTGAAGGGATTTGTGGCAATTCTTTTTTTGAAAAAATGTAAATGCTATACATTCCACAGTTGACTATTCGCAAAAAATGTTTTTATATGGACAATAATTATCTTGACCCTTTAAAATAATGGGATAACAGTATTTTTTATTTGTAGTTGAACTTATCACATTATTCATATGATGAGATAATCAACTACTTATAAAATGTCAATGCAATTGATAACAACGGTTTATGACTGATATGAATGCAACAATATTATCACAGTTCTTAGAATTTATTAAAAGGGACTTCGCTCGACATTGCTACTCTTGAAGACGGAACACCAAGTAGGGAATCATCAATCGTTGATTCTAAACTTCTAGTCTCGTCATCTGTAGGAGTGCTGGCAGTAGAAGATTCAGTCGTGGGTGTGCTTCCTTCGGTGCGCCTCCTCCGACGTTTGCTAGTTGCCTTCTCCATAACCCTCTGAATTCTTGACTTATTTTGGATATTGCATCGTACAACCAAGATATCATCTAAAATTCGTGGCTTCAAGTTGGCCCTCAGCGGATCCAAGATGTACCGCATTCCTGAGAAGAGCCGTTCGACTGTCACTTGTGTAGCCGGTGCTGAATGTACGATTGTTGCAAGTTGGTACAGTTGGGGCATCGCATATTTTTTACTTTCCCACTATTGCAGGATATCCATATCAGGATCGACGAAGCCATCAGCGAGAGCCGTGTCTGCAAAGACTTCCAGAATGCGCTTGATGTTCAAAACAGCGGTGGGATTTTTCATTTGAGCAGCAGCTGCTTGGCTCAACATTTTCCGGAAGCAATCACTCTTGAAACCCTGATTAGTAGCACTACTACTGCTTGATTCACTCGTCTGTGTGCTACATCTACCCCTATTAATGGGCAAACTCAATCGTAGATCGTTTGAAGCTTTATTGCGTTCCTCCACAACCGCCCAGACTTGCTCCAGCTTCGCAATGGCTGCTGAAGAATGCTTGTCCGCAAGTAATGGTAGAAATCTTGGATCTAAATATACAGAAGCTAGGAGAGCTTCGTTCTCCAGAAGTTTTTCTTCCCTCTTCTCCATTGCTGTCACGAGCTCAGTTGCCAGAGACGTATTTACCATCTGTGTCTCACATTTGCATTCCAGCCAGATGCCGAAAAATGATCCGAGAGTCAACTGCTCGTCTTGGAGGCGTTTGGTGGCAATCTTAGCAGGCATCAGCGACTTCAGATAATCCTCGACGTACTGCCACTCCTTCTCGGATAATTCTAGAGCTTTGAATGTCTTCGAAGACTTCCTGCAGAAATCTTTCACTTCCAACAATGATTCCAACATGTCCGCTGTCGAGTGCCAACGTGTCACGACATCTAACTTCGGCTTTTTTGCTCCCGGCTGCATGCACTGCAATTGTTTCCTCACGGTTGGGGTTCGCAAAGCTTTTGCAACCGTCCGAGCTTTCACAAGTGTGTTCCTCGAGCCCTTCAATTTATTGAGAGCATCCACAACAGCTAACTAGAGAATGTGAGCAGCACATCGTATATTGGAGATGAGTTCACCACGGCCATTACACAAGGTACAGAATTCGGAGCTGTCGATGCCCAAGGACCCATCTGCGCCTAACGGAGGTTCATCTTCCTCATCCTCCTCCTCTTCTTCGCTCTTATCGTCCTTTTCAATCAGTTTAGATTGATCCTCCGAGAAGAGTTTCCCCAGTTTCACCATGTTGGCACCGTTGTCTGATGTGAAAGAATAGATACTCGAAATATCTATTTCATACTTCTCCAGGACTGCCGTGATTACCCCTTTCAGACAGTCAGCTGAGTGTTTATCGAAGAGCTTAATCACTCCTAAAGTCCTAACATGGATGGCCCCATTTTCGATGAATTGCACATTGATTCCAATAAACCCGCGATCATGACGTGTGGCAGCATCAACCTTCAAGCAGATGAGTTTCCCCTGGAATCATATAAAGATAATGACTATCTATAACTGAAGGAGGTTGGCATTGTTCCGATAAAAATACAATAGATATGAAAAACATAATTGAAGAATATGTGTTGTAATACCTTCAACTCATCTCGTATGGATGCTCGAATCTCTTTGGCCTTTTGAACAGTCAACTTGCGCACAGCCTCTTGTGAAAAATTGCATTCATCAGCAAGATTTGCAGCTTCAAGGAAAGGGCTGATCATCTGGACAAAAGCGCTATCTTGCAGGATCAAAAATGAACGTCCGTTGACGGTTACCCATTCAACGTAGAGTTCCCTGATTCGATCTGCGCTGATGTTGACAGAAAAAGATTTCGATCTCACACGTTTCTGAGAATCTGCTTCCTTCTTCTTCTCCTGCTCGGCGGCTACATGTTCATTTGGATACCATCGCTCCAAATGCTTCTCCAAATTTCCATTGCGGTCACCCTATGAACAGATATAAGAAATTTATCGTTTGATCAAGTCTACAACATATTATCATCTCTTATTGAAATTTCTGAGTCAGATATGAAGATAGGACGGCCAACTTACCATTAATCGAGTAGAACAACCTGACACTTGACACTCATTGTAATCATTCTCAAAATTGTAGAGAAAGTACTTCCGAATAGGCGTGAGTTTTTGTCTTCCACCAGACTTTCTAGCACTCATTTTCAAAATTTAAGTGAAAACTCTGTGACTCGAAATAATATGATAGTTGGGTAAACAGCTACACTTTGATGTGTGATAAATCGCAAAGCGCAACTGAAAGTTGTAATTACAATCAATGCATACCCTTAAATAGACCACGAGCCACCCCCTAGCGGTTGTAGGGGTGGGAGTAAACGCTCATTGGAGCGTAGCGAGTGGAAGGGAGAATAGAGCAGAGCTGAGCTCTGATTGGGCAAACAATATTTGCAAGTGATGATCTCGTTAATAACAATCATTCTCAGTACCGAACATTATCTAATTTGTAATTCTGTAACTAATGGCAATTATTTGCATTGTGGAGGATACAGTTCTTTGAATTTTGGGGATTACGAACATGATCACAAAATTTCAAAATAAATTACACTGAAAGTTCTCCTGTCAACTTACAAGTGGGAGCAGAAGGATTTTCCTCAAATGTATTATCAAAGTTTAATATTGTACTTATCTTGAGTCATAGATGACTCATGATATTGTGACGTATCACAACATGCGTCACAGTTACGCGTCAACAACACGTCGTACGCATCACAATGTCTAGAGTGTCTCATTTCCAGATATCGATATGATTAATTCCGACATTTTTGAATGCATGGAAAATATCTTCAAACTTGCCCCGAAAATATCGGAAGCATGAGCACTGAAATGACTGGTGCCATAAATAATGCATAATTACCTTGCGAAATGGTTATTCTTTCATGAAGAATATCTGGCGCTAGCATCAAAATCGTTCTCTATGAATATTATTTAATTCTTGGCCATTTTCACTTTTTCAAGCTTAGTTTCCAGGTATCAAAATGTACCCAAACCTCTGTTCCAACGTATTTCCCTTTCCTATCAGAAACTAGTAGTACCGAACCAATGAGAGCACCCCATTTCCTTTGGCCAAAAATTCTGACCCCCGAGCCAATCAGAAGCCTCTGACTCATCATCATTTTCAGTTTCGTTGTACAACAACATTTCCCTATTCTAAAGACTTTTCGAGGGTCTTCGCCCAGGACTTTGAAATCTGTAGCTCTTTTTCTGATTTTTCGAAAAAACATGAGAATGGAACAGATCAATGCTGATGTTCAAGCGTCAACAATTTTTTGATTGGCTCGGCAATCTTTAATTTCCAGCCATGAAAATGGAACACTCTCATTGGTTCGGAAGAAAAGTTTGCAAAAGCAAAGCTGGAATTGGTGCGACCGCNTTTCCAGCCATGAAAATGGAACACTCTCATTGGTTCGAAAGAAAAGTTTGCAAAAGCAAAGCGGGAATTGCTGCAACCGCTATTGGGTGCATGTTAAAACCTGTAGAACAAGATGCGAAATTGTGCTAAATATTCTGAATTAGTTAAGACTGAAAAATCTACCTCCATATGATTAGAGGAAGGGAATTGTCATAGAAATGAAGGAACGGCGATTATTACAGAGGAACTACTTCCCGTTTTTTAATTGTCATCAATTAGGAATTTTCTGAATTTTTTGAAGAAATTATTAGATCCAAAGAAAAAAAGCTGATAGACTTGAATCAACGTTCAATGCTTCATTTCAAGCATTTCTGCACATTTCAAATTCGAACGAAGACTCTCGAGCAGGAAACGAAAAATGACGTAGAGCCTAAATCATTGATCCTCCAGATCTTCGCTACTCGAGAAATCTCCTTTTTAACATACTAGTCAGTTTTCCAATTCTGATTAATTATTAGACGTAAACCTGAATTCCATCGCTTCTCTGCCTGCCTCTGAAAATTTGCACTACAATAGGAGTGCTGATTACTCCCGAGCCAATCAAAAGACACATGGCACTTCGTCCCACTTTTTCATTTGACCTTTGGAATTATTTTGCTCTCTTCTTCGCCGTTTGACATGTCTCTCCTATTATAAGATAACTATGGACACTGCACAATAGAAAGGAAAAAGTATGGGACCTGAATTTCTTGTTTTGCAATGCAAGTCGATATATATTTATAGGGGATATTGGCTGGAAAGAGGCTATTGTACATCCGCAACACCTAGGACGTTCTCGTGGCAGGCCTTCTTCGAATTTTCTGAAGCCAGGAATAAAATTTTACATCATTCCAAATTTAAGATGATTGTCATGAAAAGTATTTTTTTCTCTTGGAAATCACCTTACATTCATATTCACGCTCATGTTCTTCAACGGATCCGTTTCCAGGTATCAACATAAACGCAAACGTCATACCCATCGTTTCTCTGCCTGCCTCCGAAAAATTGTACCGCCGAACCAATCGGAACACTCCATTTCGTCGCTCAAAATATCCTGACCCCCGAGCGAATTTGAAGACTCATGGCGTTCTGTTCCAATCTTCCGTTTAATCCGTTTGACCTTGAACATCGCTTTGCACAGCTGTTGCGTTATAGGCTTGCCTGACCATTTAACCATTAAAACCGTCTCATTTTTTTTATAAAAATGTCCACAGTTTCGGGAAAAAATATGGAAATGCTCCAGCAACGTTTCATCCCAGTGAAAGCTTCTTTTGCTGTCAAATATCGTTGCTTTTCAACGACGCACCCATAAAGGTCTTCTATTTTCTTCCTCATAGTTTGGTCACTATGCGAAGGAATTGCCGCAACGTGTCGTTTTTTTTTATCTTGTCATCGGCTGGTTGACCGGAACAATCCGAAAAAAAATTGAATTCGTCAATTAAAGTATCTGGCAAATTATATATTTTTTTTAAATATTACATCCCAAAATCTGGACAAAGAAAAAAATCATTTCTAACAGTTGAACAATTTTTTCCTATGTTAAATGAAATTACCCGTTGTGTGACGTAGCTGGAAACTCGCTAAATCCGCCCGGGTAATGTAGGGTGAATTCGGCAACGCTGTAGCCTAAATAACACGGCGGAAAATCCCCGTGGAGGTGACCAGAGTCGCAAGTTCCCGTCAGGTGACCAAACTAGGGTTAAAAATTTAGCATCCTGCGTCGATTTTTAAAAATTTTTCGTCTGACGACTCCCCTTATACGGGATGTATCTATGAGGAGCGTTCGGACTGAAAATTTTGAAAAATTCGGCATAGGATGCAAAATCTTTGAAAATTTTCCATAACTGTAATTGAATTGTACATGTTCTGATACCCAGAAATTTTTACTCGGGAATTTTTTTTCGGGGGAAAACAATCCGGGAACCCTCAGAATATCTTTAACTTTTCATGAATTTTCGCCAAAAACCTATATTTTCATCTTACTGTCTGTAAAACGACGTTTACAGCCAGTGTGAAGAAAAATTGCGTTCGTCACTGGACCGAAAACAACTTTTCTGACTGGTGAGGATGCATTCCTCGGCTTTGCCTCGGTCTGCAACCCTCACACTCGTCAGAAAAGTTTTTTCGGTCCTGTGACGAAAATAACTATTTCAGGAGAAGAAAAATTGAAGAATTGTATGGGTGCATGGTTGGAAATCAACAATATTTTAAAGAACAAAACGTCTGCGCCGTGATAAAACGGCGCTAGAGCATTTCCGTATTTTTTATGAGAAACTGTGGATATTTTTCTTGGAAAAAGGTCTTACATATTTTCCACATAAAATCCACCCCGTACTCGTTAAAAATTGAAGAATATTGTGCAAGCAAAACCTGGAATTTGAGTGTTTTTCATTCACCGGACTAGATAGAGGGCTGAAAATTTAGAGCAAGGCTTCTCTCAATATTCC